TGTCTGTCTGTCTGTCTATCTATCTATCTATCTATCTATCTATCTATCTATCTATCTATCTATCTATCTATCTATTTTCTGGTCTAATCTTCATGACTGTTGGCTCTTGGTCTATTGACCAATTCCACAATCAAGCAGCTGACTAGGCCTTTTGTGAATGGAGATTTTGCTTCTCACAATTCCTCTGAAAGTCAGAAGCCACCAAGACCACAGATTGCCCAAGTCCTGCGTGTTCCTTGCTAAATGGTGTCACTCCGCTCTGGGTACAGAATGTTCTAATTCTTTGGCTGGATCCCTGTGGAAAACCTCTTTGCTGTATCCTGCTTTTAAACCTGACCCTCATATTGTATGGTAGGAAACATGTCATAATCTTTCACTCAAGTTTGACAACTGACAAGCTTTGAGTAGCCTCCTCAACAGTGATTTGAAACTGAGCTGAAACCATTGAGAATGAAGTCTTGGCATGACACACATTGTTGAAAATTTCTGGCTAGTAGTGGAAGGTGGAAGCTAACATGTTTCCAGCTACAACATTACAATACAAAGGTGCAATTAAGAATATCTGGGTGTCCACAGGCCTTAAAGAACATTCCCCTAAACTGAGATCCTTGTAGATAACTCCAATCGTAGCTTCAATAAATTTCATGATTCTACCCATCGTGGTTCTAATTAGGAAACTAAAACAGTAGAGGACTTAATGGTGGCTGAGAAGATGATTTTGGAAGTTAAAGTCTACTCATCTTCAAGTGGTGAAGGTTGAGAAACCCTAGTGTAGAGGTTTCATCTTTTCACCCATTTGGAGGGGGCCTCAACCCCCTTGAATATTCTTCTAGGGAACCCTGTAAGAGCAGAAGCTTCGTTTCCCAGGAGTAAAGCATCTGCAGCTGGTCAAACCATGTCAACTTTGATGAATGCCATTCAGTAAATGCGGGCTCTGAATGTAAGCAGTAAATCCATTATTGACATGTAGTGTGGTTGACAGAAATGTCAATAGCAATCAAAAGAGTATTTCATAACACAGGAACACATAAGAAATAGATTATTTTGCCTGACTGGATGGAAAGGCGTTCGTATCACTGTGCTGACAAAACCATCTTTTGTGTTGTTTTTTTGCGAGCTGCAAAATAAATCAATACCTCTGAACGATGCTACTGGGGTGATTCAGAAGAGCAGCCCAAGACGCGTTAAGATCAGCCCTTAAGTTCAGCTTTCCAGGATTCTAAATATCCAAGAAACTGAACTGAGGTTCTTAAATCCGAGAACCAGTTTCTCTCCCTGAATGGAGAGGAGCTGTTTTGGTATCAGATGGTGCTTCCATTAGCCACAAAATGCCACAGTCTGCCCGGGAGGGCTAATTTACACTCTTCCTGGTGAGAATAAATTTTGAAGAAGACGTTAAGAAAAAAAAAGGGGGAGACAAGCGAACATTTAAAGAATAGAGGCAAGTCACATTTTATCCGGGCACAGTGCTGAGAAAAAGAAGCCAAAACAATTCCTTAGCACTGCAGAAACTCTCTCTGGATCTGTGTGGTTGTTTGCAGAGTCTCCTTCTTTCCTGGCTTCTGGGTTTGCCTTGAAATGTGGTTTTAATCATGGTTTTAGCTTTGAGTGCCACGGAGTTACATAAAGGGCCACGATGCTCTGCCATCTGGTCTTGGGTTTCCTTTTCCTTTCTCTTTCTCTTTCCCCATCCCCTGGCCAAGATTGGGCAGAAGACAAAATCCTTCCTGTTGTGTCTGTCTTTTCCTGACAGATATTGATGAGTTTTGATTCAGAGTCATCTCTGAAGAATGAGCCCAGGGTGAAGGCCGCTTTCTGCAGATCAGCTCCATCCCCCCTTTGTAAGGAATGATGGGGCTGAGCTGGTGAGGAGCAGAGGAAGAAAAGACACACCAACAGAAGGAAGCATTTCTGGAGCTTTTCCAGGGGAATCCGGAGATAACCTCGAGGGAGGCATGCAGGGAGCAAGGCTCACCATCAGTCCTGGAAAAGCAGGAAGTGTGAGAAAGAAGCTCCCAGCCCCATAAAAAGGGGGCAGAGGGAAATTCTGGCAGCCTTTCACAGCTGGGTTATTATATCCTACAACAATCAAGCAGCATTCCTGGAAACTGCCTCATGACCTGGCCTACCTCACAGGGTTGGTCGCCCCTTCCTAGTAGAAGTTCTGCAAGGTGTGTTTGGGCCTGTGTTCGGAATATTCTGCATAACACAATACAGGTGATCCTCACCTTAGGACCCTTATGTCTGTGACCGTCCCAAATTACAACAGGGCTGATCAGTAACTTAAGAGCAGTCCTCGCTCTTGCAACGGTTGCAGGGTCCCTGCAGTGACCTGATCGTGATTTGGGCGCTTGGCAACCAGGATGGATATACGGCAGTTGCAACAGGGTCGCCCAATTGCCACAAGAAAGGCCAAGGGGGGAGGGGCAGATTCACTCCACAACTTAATGACTGTGGCAAAAGGTTGTAAAATCAGACATGGTCAGGTGATGACCCATTTAAGAATCACATCGCTTAGTGACAGAAATTCCAGTCCCACTTGTCGTTGTAAGACAAAGACTTCTTGTCCGCAGAATCTCGTATGCAGCATCAGGGTTTGCAGAGGCCACGTGAGCCACAACCCAACTGATGGCTTTCTCTTTTATTAAGAGACATTCTACAAGCTGACACCCCCCATCTATGCACCTGTGCACGCTCGATATACAACACAAACACAAAAGGAAGAAAAGTGGAGAGGCATTGGCCAAGTAGACGAAAAGGTGTTAAGAGTTTCTCACAATTAGTTTCACACTTGGCCTTTGCTTCCTGTCTCCGTGCTCCAGTTCCTTTTCCGAGATGGGAAAATAAATTGATGAATGAAGCAAGATCCGATACATGCAAAAAAAGAGAGACCCGTTTTAGAGCAGGAAGCCCCCTCCTCTTACTAGGGGCCTCTGCTTAATGGCTTTTGAATGCTCCAGTCCTTTTTAACCCATCTACACATTTGCAAGGTGCCTTAAGACCAAATCAGCCTAGAAACCTGGAATATAAATGGCTCTGGCCACAGAGGGTCCACAGAATGAACATTCGGGGCCTTCTGTAAATATTCCACAACGAGAAGGCAAAGCTTTTGCATCTGAAGATTCACACAAAGAACATTGGCCGTTAATGAAAGGGAGAAGCAGCATGGTGGATATTGTGACATCGTTGTGGCTTGTTCTGATCCCAGTGGCTTGGCTCCAGGCTGTAACCAAAGATCTTGGAAGCACTTTTGACATGCTCTTGGCCGTCCCTCCTCTCTCTCTTTCCCAAGGGGCCAAATTGAGTGTGAGAGACCCTCAGGCTGACCGTGGTTATTTCCCGTGGCCCAGCTGGGGTAGGTGGGTTGCTGCCTGGGGCCACCTAACTTGGTGCAACTGCCAGTTCTAGGACGCCTGGGCAGAATAGCCCCATGGAGTTTGTAGTCCAGAAGGAGCCTTCTTGTAGATCTTTAGCCCCTCCCCACTCTCCCCCTCCTTCAGTAAGCCAGCACACTTCCAGGCATATTTTAACACACTATTTGTACACATTTCTGGCTTCCAGCAATATGGCTGAAAGCTTTGATCTCCTGCTTTTTTCCATCTAGAAAGAAGGGAGAAGAAGTTTTGCTGAGACAAATTGCCAGGCAATTTGATTTGGTGGGTTTCCTGCCCACCCCTCCCCCACTCCTTCCTGCCGCTGCTTTTCATTTCTGCTCCATTCGGTGAGCCCCGGCCCAGCCAAAAATGCCCTTTCTGTCGAGCTACAAGATCGGCAGTTCATTCAGTCCCAAAGTAATAATTATTGCTTTTGTCTGTCAAAATGTACCAAAACACAATAAGCAAGAATTGTGAACAGGCTGGGCTCTACAGAAGGCAGCGGGGGGGGGAGGGGGGGCAGGAGGTCTTCGCTTCCTCACTTCCAGAACTGGAGGGTTGCTCCAGATCAGCGGCAGGGTGGAGTTTCCACGGGGGTCTTTCTGTCTGCACTGACAATCAATCCATCTTGAGGTTTCCCCACCCCCAAGACGTAATAAGGAACATGGAGAATACAAGGATTGTTTTCACCTTTTCATCTTTCTTCATTCAGTTGCTAAGTGATGCGGTCATTAAATTTTATGACTGGTTTTGATTTTTTGTCAACAAATCTGGTTTCCCCCCTTGGCTTTCTTTGTCAGAGGCCGGCTGGGAAGGTCGCCGAGGGCAGCCAGGTGGTCCCAGGAAGCTGCAGGTTGCCTGAATTTGATCCTGGGCTGTGGGGAAGCCGCGATGCTCTTGTGGAGCCTGGTCAAGCGCGGCTTTCTTTCTTCAGGCCATCAGGACTGCGGAGCTCGCCTTTTCCTGCAAAGTCCCTGGAAGTCCCCCCACTTGCACCCTGACGCCTTCCCCCTCCCCCGGCTGGATGGAGGATTTGGGCCAAGATTCACCCAGGCGGCAAAGGTGAAACAGGGGAACCTGAGTTTGGGGGGGGGGTCTTTACCATCAGGCACAGGATGTCAGGGCAAATTGTACTGGGGGGGGGGTTGCTCTTAAAACTGGCGATCTCCATTCCGGTGACTCTGGCAAGACTGGTCGGGCTCCACCTGGGGCGGGAGTGTCTGTATTCTGCGCCCCCCCCCACGGCCCGATTGGGGAGCGAAAGGCGGCTCCTTCCTCGAGAAGAACCCCGACCCACCCAGCAGCGGCCAGGGCGGGGCCGAGGGATCCCGAGGCTGCTAAAGAGGGGACGGGGAGAGAGCGGAGGTCCCGGGGCCGCCCCCGCTCTGCCCGGCCAGGCCGCAGCGGGGCGGGGGTCCCAGCGGCGGGGCCCCCTCCTCGCTCCCTCGCTCCGCCCCCTCGCCTGGCCCGCCCGGGCACCGCAGCGCAGCAGCCCCCGCGCCCCGCCCGCCTCGGCTGCGATGGGCGGGCGGGCGGGCGAGCCAGGCGGGGCGGGGCGAGGCGCGCGAGGGGCGGCCCGGCGGGGCTCCGGGCGGTCACATGGCGCCTCAGCTGGGCCGCGGCGCGCAGGAGGCGGGGGCTGCCGTTGCCTCAGCCGCCGGCGCTGCCAGGGCCGGTCGCGCTGCCTGGCGGGCGCCTCGCGCGGAGGAGCCGCCGCCGCCGCCCCGCCGAATGATGTGCTTGGTCAGCGCCGCGATGAAAGGTGAGCGCGCCGCCCGGCCCGCCGCCCTGACCGGGGGGGGGATTCTTCTCGTGCCGGGCTCGGGCAGCCGAAGCGCCCGCGGTCGCCCCGGGAGCCGCGCCGGCCCGGCCCCGCCGCCCGCTGGGCTCAGCGCCGGCCGGGCTCCGGCAGTGCCCGGGCACAGGGCGTTGCGGGCGCGGGTCCCGGCGGGGTCCGGCCCGGGCGGGCGGCCTGGAAGGCAGCGAGTTCTCCGCGGGACTTGCCCTCCGCGTGGGGGGCGGCGCGTGTTCGGGCTCCGCTCGGACGGGCGTCCGGGCTTCTCCCCCACCCGAGCTCGCCTGGCGGAGCGGAGCGAGTCCGGGCCCCAGTTGACTTGCCGGGAAACGGGAGTCGGATGGGAGACCCGGGCGGGGAGGCTTCGGGTGGGCTTTCTGCTCCTGAAAAGCCGCGACCCGTCGGGAAAGTCTTGCCTAACGCCCTGCGCCTTAATTCTCCCAGTCCCCCCCCGCCCCCCCAGCACTGCCAAGTTTTGAACGCGACCGGGGTTTATCTGTCTGCTGGAGTCCTCCGGTGTTTGGCCACGGCACCCCGGGCGGGCAGCGTTGGTGGTGTTGCTGTTTACGGTGCTGCAAAACAGTATCCTAAGATTCCGGCCTGAGAGTGAACTTGCGTGTTGGTTTCAGGATATACCGGAGAAGCTTGAGCGGCACCGAGATTTGGCTGCCTTGGAGTCGCTGGCCAAATTCTTCTGCAGTCCCACTTTGTACCATCCCCAAGTGCCGCTCTCTTGAGAACAGCCTTTTAATTTGGCTAGTATTCTTGTTAAATGGCTTCCGTGGCGCTAAACGGATTTGGGACTAACTTTCCTTCCTTAAACCATGGCTAGATGCAGATCCTCTTCTGTAGGGAAACCGGGACATAAACCCAGTGGCTTCCTCTGAGAAAGGGGTCCTGAAAATTTGCTTTAGGAGGCTGCTCGTACGTTGGTGCACCGGGGGGGGTGGGGTGAGCTTGCAGTGTGCAACGCAAAAACTCACCCTGCTCTGCCCGAGGCAGACAACCAGGAGGAAGGCTGAGGTCCGCCTTCGTGGAGAAGCCCCGTTGAGAGGCAGAGAAATCTTTTCCAAAGGGCCCACATAGAAGTGCATGGCTGTGTCATCAATCATGCGCAGCAGCTGGGCTTCCCAGAGCATTGTTCCTGCGTGAAACGAATGAGCACGGGGCCCATTTAAGTTGGTTAGATGGCTTAACATCCCGGAGAGCATCAAACCGAGGAGAGGAGATTGGGTTTAAATGGAAGCTGGCTGGTGAGGGTTGGGTGATTGTCAAATCCCAGAAAATGATTTTGTGCGATATGGTCTCTGACACGTTGCTTTAGGCTGGGTTTGTCACATCACATTTAGATCTTAATCTTCCCATCTCTAGTCTTGCGGGCGGAGGAAACGGATCTCCTGTAATGACTGCAAATGTTGGTGTTACGTTGTCTTTGTTTTGACTCATGGCCCCTTTTTTTTCTTTTTTGCTTTGGCATTCAAAAGCTGCAGGAGAAATCTACGTTAGTAGCGCTGATTAATTTCTCTTGAATGTTAACGTTGGTCCCTTGCTGACAAATAGATCTGTGAAAATCATATTCCATCTCTCTCTCTCTCTCTCTCTCTCTCTCTCTTTAAATAATGCCCGTACCTCTCTCTTGTCTTGCGCTGACCTCTGGCTGCTGAGAAGTGATAGATTTGTTGGTCTGTGCAGAGAAAACAAAATTGGAAGCATCGTGGGAAAATCACTTTTTAAGCTAAAACGTACAGGGGAAATGGAGAAATGGGTCTTGACCGTAAGATTACTTTATCGCATGTTGCTGCTTTGTAGGGCTTCATAGGAGAATCAATGATTTAAAAGGACTCTGAAAATAACGTAGAACTAAAATGGAATGTGTGCCCTTCCCTATTCTTCTTCTCTTCCTCCCCTCCCAGATTTTAGGGGCAGCAAATTGCAGGGACTCTGCTGTATTCCTTTGAAAATTAGCTTCATAGCCAAAAGGATAAAAAGTTCAGTTATAGAAGGGAGTGAAAAAAATATTTCAATTAGGCTATTTGTGATAATTATCAGAGTATTGGGCTTTAACTTTGTAGTTCTATTAGTTTTACTTCATTTTTTTTTATCTGTCGTACATCACTTTGGGTATCTGGAAAGTTGTGGTACAGTTTGACAACTCCAGACCTTTAGCCATCATCACATGTGATGTTTAGGTAACAACAACCTGGGATTTTTCTGACATGAATGAAACTCTCTTTATTTTTATGGTTACAAAGCCATAGGAGTAATCTGAATTGATTATCATGAGTAAACCCTGCAGTAATGCTGTAGAATAGCAAAAAGGGCATTTTAGCTGGTGTAAAATCTTTCAGAGTCACTATCTGTGAAATTCAGATCTCAGTCAGTAAAAAATAAACGATTGATACTAGAGGAGAGTTATAAAAACAAGGAACAGACAGAAACTGTATCTTCCTCCTCAAAGAAAGTCACACCTAGTTCTTTGCACAGAGCATGGCGAAAGAGGTATTTGGACTCTGGTTATTATAAATGGTGCTTGCATTTGATACCCAGCAGTTACTGGCATTCCTTCATAATGGTTTTGTAGTTTTGCTACACTAAATCTACACTTGCCTAAATCTTCATTTCTGGGAAATAGACTCTTAAAGCATTTTGCCTTCTAAATCGAGATAGGCTGCTATAATGAGCTCAAGAAAACAAAAATATTGTGGTAAAACAGTCCCTTTATTGTTAAAAAGGTAAGATGCAAGTAATTAAACAACTCTCTCATACAGTGAATTTCTTTTAGTAATAAATAATAGAGCTGTGATTGAGAAGGGACTTTATAGGCCTTGCCCATTCAGCAGACTGCTGTGACGTTCAGTAAATGTGCAGAAATTTGTCATTTATTAAACGGTGTCTTGCACTACTTGCTGCTATTTTAAAATATTTCTCTGGATTGCTGTTTGAGCCTCCAAAGTTGTGATTGGCATTTGTGATCTTCTTGTCAGAAATGAGGCTATTAAGGCGGAAATAAAAAGAGGGGCAGGAGGTCACAGTACATCACAATACTGTAAACCATCATTAGTTTCAGTGCAAAACACACACAGAGTGAGAGACCTAAAATAGGTTTGTATTCTGTGTGAATGCAATCACTGTGGTGTGATCAAGCTATGGTTAAAACCCTGGTTTAGCATGAACTATGAACCTGGTCACCATAGATGAATTCACTCTGAGAAGGCCTGGGGAAGATTTTTCCTTTCATGTTTAATTGCAATCTGTTGTTTTATGCAGATTTGACAGACTGTATATTTTAGCTCGTATGTTTTCATTAAAGGCTGTTCCTGTTTTCCTGCTCCTGATATCGTGTCATCTAGTTTGGGCTACTCCTTTTTAGAAGGGTATTCTTTCGTCAGTAAATAATAAGAGGAAAAACTTGGTTTCTCTCAGTCTGGCTTATCTGAGTTGGCCCTGTAGATGAAGCATTTTAAAAGATTAGGTTTCTTTTACTGGCAGCTTCATCCAAACTCCCTTTTTCTTGTTTCTGTTTTGGTGAACTTTGGGTGACCAACTGACCATGCCTTGCAAAGCTCAGCTAGCTGGCGCCTTCAGCCCAGGAATGCAGCCAGGCACCCACTGGGGTGGCGTTCACTCCACCTGCACGGCTTTCCCAGTCCCTGAACTGATGGGCTGGGATAGGTTAAGTGTGAGAACGGGTTCCATGCCTTGCAGACACTTCAGGCACTACAAAGAAAGCAGCCCCATTTGCTTTGGAAGTAACCCAGAAGACCGGTCCTTTGACACCAAGTCCAAGCTAAGCTGTAGGGCAGCCCCAAAGCAGAATATTATGAGATCCTTCCTTCCTTCCTTCCTTCCTTCCTTCCTTCCTTCCTTCCTTCCTTCCTTCCTTCCTTCCTTCCTTCCTTCCTCCCTCCCTCCCTCCCTCCCTCCCTCCCTCCCTCCCTCCCTCATTACAACCAACCATTGAAACAATTGCAATACAACATAAATATACATAAATATGCAAAATTACCAGCAAGACAACAAAGGTTACCAGAGGCCCTTAAGAACAATTTGGATTTTGGTGCTCCATATGGGAAGTGAGGGTCATGTCCCAAGGAGATACATGATGTCCTCCAAACTTAGTCCTTTTTTTCTCCATGAAAATGTGGGATCTTCAAGAGATCCTCCTCACAGGGAAAGTGTGCATTAAAGGTTGAGATCCACCAGTCTGCCAGCGACCTTGATGCTACCTTTCCTGTTCCCCAGGCCACCTTCTTTCTTGGCGATGCATGTTTTCCACAAAGAACATTATTTCTTAGAGTGTTTGGTGCGAACTGACGTTATCCTCAGCAGTTGATGAGTTGATTCTTAACCTGTTTTGACTTGTGCTGGTGCAACTCTGAGAGAAGCCAGAAAAAATATTTCCCCAATCCGTTGGTGTAGGCACTCCACCCAGAGATGCTTGGCTGACGTCAATGGGAGTCTGCCATGTATGCGGCGAAGCAGGATCAAGCCTTTAGCTGAGAGGTGTGTTGAGTTGTTGGTTTTCAGTTGTGTGTTAATGCACACACTGGCCTGGAAATACCTGTTCAGAGGTAATTGCAGTGCCTTGGTCAGCATCTCTCAATTTTGGCTACTTTAAGCCTTGTGGACTTCAACTCCCAGAGTTCCAAGCTGTGCTGGTTGGGGAATTCTGGAAGTTGAAGTCCATCTATCTTAAAGTAGCCAAGGTTGAGAAATGCTGACTTAGCTGGTTCTTAAGTTTGAGAATTGGGAATTGGGTGGCAGACAAAGGGAAGATATCTGATGCCTCTGGTTCAATTGGATTATAATTCTCCTCATTAGCAGCGTGGACACCTTCTGCACTCTCTGTTCTGTAATTTCCAGGCCGGTGTACTTGGCTGTCATTCAAACAGCACAATTGTTGTGGGAAAGTTAATCTTGTCACAGCCACTGTATTAAAAGTGTTCTCGCTCTCACTTCCTCCTGGG